TATTTACTATGAATACAAAAGGGGGGGGGGGGGGGGGGGGGGGGGGGGGGCGGGGGGTGGGGGGTAGGGATAAGATTGCCTGGGGCACTTGAGGGGCATTAAGTGTTTTTGAAACATGAAAACATATTGCGTTTCGCTCAAACAAACACAATTCAAACTTTAAAGTGATAAAACCTCAACTGTACAAAGATGGATCTAATGTTGTGTTTATGCATTTTAAAATGATGCATGTCTTCCTCTGCTGTCAGAAACATGACTTTCATCTTTTCATAGCCCTTGGGCAGCGAATGAGTAGAGGGTCCTTTGAAATATATAATTTTATTCTGAATCAGATTACAGCGCTCTTGATCAATTCAAGCATTTCTTTACGTTTTAAACAGAGTCATCCTGTCGAAAGTTAATGTTTATTTCTTTCAAGCATACCTTGGGTATCCTTTTGAATTTTAACATTTACTTTGGATTGTTAAATAACAGCCAGGTGTGTTTTTCAAGGTCATTGATTTTAATACTTGCTTAAGTTCCATTTACACAGCTTTTAATTCACTGAGCCTATTGACCAAATCCACGCTTTATGTCACCTCTATTCAAAAAGTCATTATCTGTGTCAACAGCAGTAAGTCTGGCTCTAGTAATCTGCTCCCTTTTGAGGCCTATAGTCCATAACCTATTAACAATCCAGTGTCAAGTCACACTTGTTAACAAAAACACAATTAGTAGGATCATTAACAATAGTAATTAATTAGCAGACACACTTTCATCCCCTCCACCACTTGGTAGCCACTGTGCTATATTTATTGTAATAATCATGCTGAATTAACATTGGCAGCCTTATGTATCATTATGCTTTTTCTTTGTACCCATAACCTTAAGGGACTGTACGGGAAGGGTCCTCTGTAGAGGAAGGTTACTTCCCAATAATTGAAATGTTGGATTTTGAAATGTGGTTGTTATAAACCCAGGTGGCTGGTGCAAGATGTCATGTTTGTTTACTTTCCCATTCCTATCAATAGTTGCTCAGTTGGCATAGCAAGTATGTGATTTGAGTCAATAACCTGAGTTGCAAATGTCATGTGACTAATAACGTATAGAAAGATATGTTCCAACAACTCGGATTGGCTTTTTGTACACCAACAAATACAAAGATTATTCATTTTGTAACACCAACTGAAGCGGGATGGTCTCTGGCTTTTGTTGGAACCAAAGTCAACAACTTGCACAGAGTGAGTAGCAGCATGAAACAAAATCACTAGCATAGCATTTTGCAGTGCCATTTCTGACATAGTTGGTCCGGAGTTCATCCTGGAGCAAGATAATGACCCAAAACATCCCTCCAGCCTATGGCAGAACTACATCAGAAGATATGAAGGCCTCAAATCATAGAATGGACAGTAGAGTCTTTAGACTTAAATGGAGCTGGATGAACTGGATAGAAGGGTAAAAGCAAAGCAACTTACAAGAGCAAAACAAAAAAAATTGTGAGAACTTCTGGAGTAGTGTGAAATTTGGTAAACAAAAAAAAAAAGGATTATGTTTTGTTAAACAGTGATTGCCTGATTCCTTGAATTTTGCCAATTGTTTATTTGTTCTTTGCTCTGATTTCAAAGTACATTGAGATACATTTCAATAGAATCTAGAAAATTTGAGTTGTTCCAAATATATCTCCCTTTGGGATAATAAGGTAACACTTAATTTTACAGTGTGCTTGTTACACGTTACATGTAGTTACTATAGTAATAACTATAAATTATGCGTAATTACATGCGGTTAACCCTAAACCAAAACCTAATCCTAACCCTAATCCTATAATATTGTATGTACATGCAGTTGATTACTCAGTACTTTTGTAATTACACTGTAACACAGACACCTTAATATAAAGGGTTACACTTTATTTTAAAGGGTCTTTATTACTTTGTAATTATACATTTAAGTACTGAGTAATATTAAGTAAGTATTTAAGTGCTGAGTAAATATGAATTACACTACATGTAATTACTATAGGGTTATGTTTAGGGTTTGGTTTGGTTTAGGGTTAGTTGCATGTAATTATGCATAATTTATAGTAATTACAATTTGTAACAATGACACTGTAAAATAAAGTGTTACCTAAAACGGAACTTAATAACAGAATAGTTTCTGACGTCTAGTCTAGTAGGGAGATGGTTCCATTCCCTGAAGACTTCCTGCAGCTATATCCTTGAGTTGACATTAAATCCAGTAGTACTTCTCCAACAGGGACACGAATGAATCACTCTTCAAGTAATTGCAGAGAAGAGTTAAAGGGTTGAAATAGAGGTTGAAGGAGGAAGAGAGATGATATGTCTTAGCAAATGGGATTTCTGCCCCCTACATGTCTAAAGTCCGTAGAGCTAAAATAACAGCATAACTTTTATTAACTTAGCCATATGACATCCTGAGTAATACTACGTACCCTCTTTGTGCCAAATCCTCTTTTATCTGCTCTGACGGACTAGAGGACCAGCTTCACTTAAGGGGAAAAAAGGAGGCAGAGGCTTTGGTGTGGATGAGGTGGTATTCATGGACATGTTGTTTATGATGGCACCCACATATCTTGAGATTAAAGCAGTAAGCAGTCTGAGTGGGCACACAATGACACACAATGATGGTGTGAGCGAACAAAATATTGATTTTGAAGACGTTAAATGATAGTTTTGGAATATTGTTGTAGATGTCGAATAAGAGCCAGATGTTGGATGTACTGGGGAAATGAGCTCTGGCGATGACAGCAATGATGGTAAAAAGCATCTGCTCAAATTTAACCCATCCAAGTTCCAAAATGTAAGGACATATGCTTTATATTACTCTCTTGTAATTGCTATTAAAATATCAAGAGAGTTTTATACCATTGCGGTGGGTAGCAATCCATCCGTGTTAGATATAGATCCGGGTCACTATGTATTCACACCCGAATATGTAATAATGATTGGCGAAACATTCATGCATTGAAGGGTTAAAAGTCAACTCTGTGAAATGAGAACAGGACATGACGCAAGCCAGAATCGAACACAAATCTTCAGCATAAGCACCAAGGCACAGATTTAGGCATGTTAACGGCCAAGCCAAGCCACCAACCCTTTTTTCTTTCTTTCTTTCTTTCTTACTTTTTTTAAAAGAAACCTTTCTAGAATGATCTCAGACACCATCATTATGCAATCAATAATCAAACTAATAATTGTAGAGTGAAAACACAGTTCATCAAATACCCATATTCACCCACCGTTGAAACTGTATACTCCTGTTTTAACTACGGTACTATTGAATGTTATGGCTGCAATATTTGGTTAAATTTTGACATTGCAAAGAAAGAATTTCAAAACTGGCACAGAACGTTGTTAGACAGTTCATAGACAAGTTTAAATAGTAATGCATATCAGTCAGGTTTCCAAAAAAAGAAACACATTTTGCGATTGTGTTTTTATAGACGCTCTCCACTATTATTCCCTGCTTTATTGCATCTATGTTTGCTCATTAAACTTTATTGTTGCCCATGATGTTTTATTGTAAAGATTCGATTGTGTGCAAAATTCAGGAACATGACTCAAACAGACAGCAGTTAGCTCAGCAGATGTTGTTTAATGTTCTGGTAAACTTGTCACCAAAACTGGGGAATCACAATCTCAGGCCCCTTTCAGTTTCCTGTCTGTATGAACTACCTTTGTGATAATGCAAAACACATCATTTTGATTTAACACCATGATCTATATTTCAGGATCAACGTTACAGGAGAATGTCCACATTTTAGAGATGAATTCAGTCATTTTAAGGCAGAATATTTTACACAGATTTACAGATAGAAATAAGTACTTTTGAAAAACCATGTATATTCATTCACATGAGAAAACATGACAGGACAGTCAAATTTGACAGTGTGAAGCACTAGTATCCTTGAAAGCTGTTCTAGGTCAGCTTCAAGCCTATTTGTGTCGCAGTACACCACTAAGTATAGTCTGCAATCAGATGATTGTGTTTAATGTTCTACTTTGGAATATGACAATTTTGTATTGAAGAATTATTTTAAAATTAACTAGAGCCTCTGATCAGCTACATGTAACTTAGAGTCAAAGTGACACAAAAAATATATAATGAGATTTTGATTATTGCAAAGACTTCTACAAGTCTTTTATCACTTTTATTATGACTCATACTTGTGCTCTGCACTACATTTGCAATGCTGTAGGTGAGCTACTGAGCAAGTTTACTAAAAAAACCATACATATGGAGCTGATCATGTGATGAAAATGTGAAAATGCATTCGCTTACAAATCATGCACTATGATAACAAGTATTTTAAGGACAGAACAATGAAAACTATATATCACTTGGGAAATAAGGTTCTCCACTAACTTGCTGCGCAGCAAATGCCATTGAATATGCTTTAATCGGTCGGGAGTTCTCATAACAACCACAGAGAATCTCACCAGCAAAGAAGAATTCAGCAGTTTATATAGGATAGAGATGCATAGCACAGTCAAAACAATTACTCATGATCATTACATCATTTTCCTCTAATATGATTGCTTCAATTTGTGGAAAACAGCATCCACCTACTCTTACTGGCAAGGGACATTCAGATATCAAAATCATCAGAATCATCAAAATCATGGGGTTATTTGTATGCTGATTACTCATTATGTAATGAGGATAATATATTTGGATAACTGTCTGTCCCCTATTTCGACACACCAACCTTGGTTAACAGTGTTGGTACATTTTGTTCTCAAGTGTTAAATGTTAGGCCTGCAAGGAAAAAGAAACGTTAGTTATGGTTAGTTCCATCACACTAACTTTCAGCACCTCAACAATATATCATACAGTTTCCATCACATAATGTCCTTGGATGTATTGGCAAAAGGTCTAGTTCAGTCCCTCACAGCTTCTGTATTTACCCACTTTCATTCGACTTTATAATGAACAAGAGCTAGTTTGGGGAAAAGCCTATACTCTTTAGTGTGACCATTTTCCTATCTCTTTTCTTACAGAAACCAGACCGTTCTACACCAGTTCTGCTGTCCTGCTCCGGAAGCCCCTGAGTCTGAGTCTCAGGCCTGTGTACCCAGGTAGGTTGGTTGGTTGGTGCTTCCTGACCAAAAACTCCATTGCCACAGTAAAGACTGTGTTTCTGATGGTGCTAGGCAACACAGCTGCCCTAGTTATACCCGTCCTGAAGTGGTTGTGAGTCTTTTCATGCCTTGTCTCCCTACAGTAAATTCAGCCTCTATCATCACAGTTGACGGTGACCATGGCAAAGCAAACACGGATATGATTTCCCTCTAAATCAGGCCAAAAGAAAAACATGTGTATCTTATGTATAACTGGTGCTTTCTAGTATCTACCATTTTCTAGTTGGTGCTTTCTAGTATCTACCATTATACATCAATAGCCCCTTTCACACAGAGATTCCGGAAAATACACGGATAAAGCGACCCGGGATTTGACCCGGGTTAGTTTGATTTTGGTTCGTTCACACTGCCAGTGATTTTCCGGAATCAGAGAGTGCGTTCACACACAAACCCGGCATCAATCCCGGGTCGTGTTTGCGTTCACACAGAAGGCGTTCTGGCAATTTCCCGGCAATTTCCCGGGATCAACGCGCTGTGTGAAAGGGGATAATGATTCAACATTGATCATCTACCACAGGTTTAGGTATTAAGACCGTTGTCAGATTAGTCAACATTATTTACTTATAATCGTATTATCTTGTAATAATGCCCATTTATAAAACATTATAACCCCCAAAATTCCGGTTGTTGTGCAGCTTTGCAAATTGGCGGGAAGGCATTAAAGAAATTAAGGAAAGCACTCCACAAACTGTAGATCCTGGGGGTTTGGAAAGGGAAGGGTCAAAGAAGAGATGAGCACAACTAAAGCAAACTGGTATTGATGATTGCCTTTCTCTCCTGTAGCACTGGCCATTGTTAGTTTGGTTGTAACACTGCAGTCACTGACCGAGATGACTCTAAATCACACTGTAAACGCCACAGAGGGCACAAGTTATTGAATTAGACCCAGAAAGATTGCCAGAGTGGAGGATAGAAGAAAAATGCAATTGCACATCCCCCTTAGGTTTGTCTTGACAGTGTGCACTGCAGAGGTAGAAATAACATGGCATTTATCCATTGGAATGTGTTTGTACGAGTTTCAAATCCTCTGCCACTCATGGGCTGAGAAAGAAGATTCAATAATTCCAACTGCACAAATGATTAGCTTAAGGATCTATTTCTACCTGATCTGAAACGTAGAAATTCATTTTTGTTGTCAGAACTGAATTGCTTCATATTCAATTATAAAATAATGACCTTATAATGATACGGTTAAGGTTAGGGACACGTTCTCTTACGAGAGGTTCTCTCGTATTGCGGAAGTTTAGCTTACGCTACGGGAAAGATTCATCTTCTCGAGATATTGAAGCCCAAAAATTATCCTTAATTTTGTATTCATTGTCAACGCAGTGCAGCAGGTAGCAGACCTAGAGCAGGCCATCTCGCGTGCTCATTGGCTGCCCTGCTGGCATCTGCTGCAGCCTACCAGTGAGCCCCGCGTGACGTCACGCCCAATGAAGGGCGCTCGCGCCTTCATTGCGTCACAGCCCGCCAGAATGGGCGTGGCTTAGCGTATAAAAGCAGGGGCTGTAGGCTGACTTCCCTGATTTTTCGACTCTTCAGCGAGCTCTCCGCATCGCTGGATCTGAGAGAAGCCACCGCCGCCGTCGAACAGCGAACAGCCAGCTTAGGACAGCGCTGAGGAAGCCGGCCATCTTCGCCACCTTCAGCCATCCGTGCGAGCTACGCTATCCGGCGACGTATCCTTTTTACTCTGTTGTATTCTCTTCTAGCTTACTCCTAAAAGAGCGCGAGTGTCTTTTTAAAGATGCCTCGCATTTCCTGCGGCTCGTGTAGGGCCCCGGAGACAGCCGGAACCTGTGGCCACTGCGACGCGCTCGCCGGAGTACCTCCCTCGAGCCTCGCTCTCGCCTTCCCCGCCTCTCTTCACCGACGCGCAGCTGCCGCTCACGAGCCTCACTGCCGTCGCGTCTGAGGATGAGGTTGAGGGACACGCCACAAGGGACTGCTGTTCTAACCGCGGCTAGCTTCCTTTACGTTACAAGGAAGCTACCGCGCCCACCATAGAAGCAGTCACTCCGCCCTTTGTGGGACCGCGCAGTGATAAGCGCCGTTCCCAAAGGCAGCCGGAGCCTGTAGCCACAGCGACGCGCTCGCCGGAAAGCCTCCCTCGAGCCTCGCTTTTCACCTTCACTGACGCGCAGCTGCCGCTCACGAGCCTCACTGCCGTCGCGTCTGAGGATGAGGTCGAGGGACACGCTATGGACTGCTGTTCTAACCGCGGCTAGCTTCCTTCCTCGCGCTACTTAAGCTTTTGTAGTTTCCCCCGTGGCTCAGTGGCTAAACTCAAAGCTTTCGCGCCAGAGACCCGTGTTCGATCTCGGCTCTCGCAGCAGAAAAAATTTATGCAGCTCTGCTCTATGAGCTCGCGACCAGCTTTCTTACGTACAGAAAGCGAGCGCGCGCCCCCGAGCGCATGCGTCACCGGCGAAGGAAGGAGAGAGTGTGGTTTTTTGTCCCGCCGAGGCCTGACAAACCCCCTCTTTTTTCTCAAACATTCTCCAGCTCCTCCTAGTTCGAGCGGCTGGTAATGTCTATACTGCAGTAGAGAGCCTGTTATAACACGCACGCCTGCAGACAATGCCGACACGCACACGAAAACTGTGATGACGCTCTCTCTCTTATCTGCTCGCGCCAACTAAAGCTTACGATGTTTCCCCTGTGGCTCAGTGGCTAAACCCTAAGCTTTCGCGCCAGAGACCCGTGTTCGATTCCCGGCTCTCAAAAAAAAAAAAAAAAGAATTATGCAGCTCTCCTCTCTGAGCTCGCGACCAGCTTTCTTACGTACAGAGAGCGAGCGCGCGCCCCCGAGCGCATGCGTCACCGGCGAAAGAAGGAGAGAGTGTGGTTTTTTGTCCCGCCGAGGCCTGACAAACCCCCTCTTTTTTCTCAAACATTTCCTGCTCCTCCTAGTTCGAGCGGCTGGTAATGTCTATACTGCAGTAGTGAGCCTGTTATAACACGCACGCCTGCAGACAATGCCGACACGCACACGAAAACTGTGACGCTCTCTCTTTTATCTGCTCGCGCCAACTAAAGCTTATGTTGTTTCCCCTGTGGCTCAGGCGCTAAACCTTAAGCTTTTGCCCCGGAGACCCGTGTTCAATTCCGGCTCCCGCTGCAGATAAAATTTATGCGGCTCTCCTCAGCGAGCCGCCGTATTCAAGTTTATTTCCCTGTCAGTCCCCTTCAATCAGGCTACTGCAGTGGTCCATTTAGCAGCCTACGAGCCGGCTCATTTGCCCTCTCGCCTGCACACATACGCCGTTTTCACAGCGACCCAGAGAAAATCTCAAAAGAGTATAATGTCTGGTCCGGCTCACGCCGTTGGTGTTTTAAGTGTAGTGAAAGTGCCCACGCCCCAGTGTTCACCCCTACACACAAGCACATCAAATCTCGTGTCACTCACAGAGCACACTCTCATAAAGCGCAGAAAAGCCGCTCGAGTGTTGAATATAAGGAATGTTTCCACAGGTCTGTGCCCACTATCTGCCCGCTCTGTTACACGGTCAATAAAACAGGTTATGAATGTAAATCTCGTGCCCGCCGGAGAGCGTTCACGCTTACTGACACACACCTCCCCCCGGGCGCCGCCCGCGCGTTTAAATGTTATCACAAAACGCAGGGCATTGATAAGACGCTCCCCATCCGTTATGATCGGGGCGTCAAATACACTTGTAAGTCTCGTGCCCGCGCACACGCGCTCACGCTTACAGAAAGCTTTTCCACCCAAAGCGCTGCTTGCGCGTCAAAAAGTGAGAATAAAATGCTCCCCATCCCTTATGATTGGGACACCTCACATAAATCAGACGGTCTCGGCTTTCAGCGAGCAGCCATTGCCCAGAACCGAGAGCGCGCGCGCCGCACTTTCGGCTCCGGCTCAGTTTCACAAGCCCGCAAATGGTGGCGATCTGAACCCGGAGGCCATTCGCCCCCTAGCGGCTCACATAGCTGCGTGGGAAACTATCCCAGGGATTTCAGAATGGGTTCTGAGCACAATAAGCAGGGCTATACACTTCAATTAATTCGCCGTCCCCCGCGCTTTGGAGCCCGGACCGCGACGATAGTGAATGCGGAAGTAGCACACCTACTTCACGCCGAAATAGCAAAGCTGCTGTGCAAAGGGGCTATAGAAAAGGTGCCGCCTTCTCTGAGCGAGTCAGGCTTTTACAGCCGTTATTTTCTCGTATCCAAGAAGGACGGAGCCTTCAGACCTATCCTAGATCTGAGACATTTGAACAAAGTGCTTGTGAGAAGACCGTTCTAAATGCTTACGACCAGGAAAATCCTCGCGCACGTTCGCCCGAGGGACTGGTTTATTTCTCTAGATCTGAAGGATGCCTATTTTCAGATTCAGATAATACCCCGTCACAGGCAATTTTTGAGATTAGCCTTCGACGGTCAGGTATATCAATACACCGTCCTGCCGTTCGGCCTGTCTCTAGCACCCCGTACATTTACGAAGTGCATGGACGCGGCGCTCGCCCCCCTGAGAAGTCAGGGGCTGCGAATAATGAACTATCTGGACGATTGGCTGATTTTGGCACAGTCAGAGACAGAGCTGCTATCTCACAGAACAGTGCTTCTCAGTCACCTGGAAAGCTTGGGTCTCACGGTCAACTGGACCAAGAGCTCATTACTACCCAGCCAGTCAATTTCCTTTTTAGGAATAGAACTGGACTCGGTGACCATGTCGGCTCGTTTATCGGCACAGCGCGCGCTCCGTGTTCGCCACCTAGCCGCGTCTTTCCAGAAGGACAGCTTTCTCCCTTTGAAAACATTTTAAAGGATGCTGGGCTGTATGGCATCAGCTGCAGCGGTGCTCCAGCTGGGCCTACTGCGCATGCGCCCGCTCCAACGCTGGTTGAATGCTCGCCCGTCCCGCCGAGCTTGGGTTTCTGGCGGTCAGAAAATCTGAGTGACTCAGACCTGCATAG